CTTAATTTTGTTAGGAAGCAGACTGCCACACAGCAGGAGATTCTGTGGGTCGGCGGATGGGTTTGAACCACTGACCTTTTGATTAGCAGCTGAGTGCTTAACCATGGTGTCACCAGGGTTCATTACAGATAGCACTGAGCTCTGCTATGCCCCACCTTCAGTGTCCCCTGTTATTAACATCCCACATTAATACGGTACGTACATTGGACACAATTAATGTAATTAATACATTATCATGAAGTAAAAAGTTCATTGGATTCAGATTTTCTTATCTGACCTTGCAGCTCAAACTGACCTTGTGGTCCAGTGCTTATTGAATGTAAATCAGCTTTTCCGTTAAGAGCTGTTTGGTTATAAACCAAACAAAAGGGTATCCAAGGGACACAGAGAGCTGTCACTGTCAGCTCTGGTTGGGAACAGAAAGGTGCAGTCAGAATAATTGTTGTGAAGTGCTGTCAAGTCAATTCCGACCCATAGCAACCCTGTCTAGAGTTTTCAAGGAGCAGCTGGTGAGCTTGAACCTCCGACCTTGCAGTTCAAACGGCTTTGCAGTCTAGCGCATTAATCCAAAGCACCACGCCAGGAGTAATTGAGGGGATGGTAAATAAAGATTATTTTTAAAAGAATGGTTAGTATTAAGGAAACCTACCAGCATTTCTCAAGTTGGGAGAACTGAAGGAAAAATTCAAACAAGATTACTGAACAATGCGGAAAATTATTGAATGATGCAGAAAGCATCAAAAGAAGATGGAAGGAATACACAGAGTCACTGTACCAAAAGGAAATGGTTGATGTTCAACCATTTCAAGAGGTAGCATATGATCAAGAGCCAGTAATTGAAGGAAGAAGTGCAAGGTGCATTGAAAGAATTGGCAAAGAACAAAGCATCAGGAATTAATGGGAATAAAAAATTGAAATCTTTCAAGAAAGTGAGGGGGCGCTGAAGGCACTCACTAATCTATGTCAAGAAATTTGGAAGACCACTATCTGGCCAACTGATTGGAAAAGATATTTGTGCCCATTCCAAAGAGAGGTGACCCATCACAACGTGGAAATCATTGGACAATATCTTTCATATCCCATTCAAGGGAAGATTTACTAAAGGTAATTAAGGAGCTCTGGTAGCATAGCGGTTACAAATCGGGCTGCAAACCACAAGGTCAGCAGTTCGAAACTACCAGCTGCTCCGCGGGAGAAAGATGAGGCTTTTTGCTCCTGTAAAGATTTACAGCCTCGGAAACCGTGTTCAGGGTCACTATGGATCAGAGCCGACTCGATGGCACTTAACAACAATACAAAGTATTATACCTTTAGTATAAAGGTAGCGTAGTGGTTACAAGTCAGGCTGCTAACCTCATGGTCAGCAGTTCAAAACTACCAGCGGTTCCGCAGGAGAAATATGAGGCTTTCTGCTCCCGTAAAGATTTACAGCCTTGGAAACTATGAAGGGTTGCTATGAGTCAGAATCAACTCCACAGCACACCACCTCCACCAATATAGAAATGGCTGCAAACATACATTCACAGAGAACTTCCAGAGGTTCAAGCCGGATTCAGAAGAGGACATGGAATGAGGGATATCATTGCTGATGTCTGATGGATCTTGGCTGAAAGCAGAGAATACCAGTGCTTTACTGACTACGCAAAGGCTTTTGATTGTGTGAATCTTGACAAGCTGTGGACAACATTGTGAAGTATGAGTATTCCGGAACACTTAATTGTGCTCATGATGAATTTGTACATGGACCAAGAGGCAGTTGTTCGAACAGAACATGGGAACACTGAATGGTTTAAAATCAGGAAAGGTGTGAGACAGGGTTGTGTTCTTTCACTATACTTATTCAACCTGTATGCTGAGTTGGGTTATATGAAGAAAAACATGGCATCAGGATTGGAGGAAGACTCATTAACAACCTACGATATGCAGATGATACAACCTTGCTTGCTGAAAGTGAAGAAGACTTAAAATATTTACTGATGAAGATCAAAGAGCACAGCATTTGGTATGGATTGCATCTCAACGTAAAGAAGACAAAAATCCTCACCACTGGACCAATAAACAACATTCTTACCAACAGAGAAAAGATAGAAGTTGTCAAGGTTCATTCTTCTTGGATCAACTATCAACACTCATGGAAGCAGCAGTCAAGAAATCAAATGATGTATTGAGTTAGGCAAATCTGCCGCACAAGACCTTTTTAAAGTGTTGAAGAGCAAAGATGTCAGCTTGAGGACTTAGGTGCACCTGACCCAACCCATGGTATTTTCAATAACCTCATATGCATGCGAAAGCTGGACAGTGAATAAGGAAGACCATAGAAGAATTGAAGCATTTGAGTTATGGTATTGGAGGAGAATATTGAAAGTGCCATGGGCTGCGAAAAGAACCAACAGATCTGTGTTGGAAGAAGTACAGCCAGAGTGCTCCTTGGAGGCCAGGATGGCCAGCCTTAATCTCTCATACTTCGGACATATTGTCAGGAGGGACCAGTTGCTAGAGAAGGATATCATGTTTGGTAAGGTGGAGGGTCAGAGAAAAAGAGGAAGGACCCCAATGAGATGGACTGGCAAAGGGACCAAGGGAAGCTCAGCTTGACCATAGGCTGTGGACCCCAAGGCCTGGCTCTGCTAGTGCTGCCCAAAGGTTCGGGGTTGTGTTCATCAATGGGCTCAAGTGTAGCAAAATTGTGAGGTTGGCCCAGGATCAGGCAGTGTTTCGTTTTGTTGTGCATAGGGTCGCTATGAGTTGGTACCAACTCGATGGCACCTAACAACAACAACAACAACCAGAAATGATACTGTACTTGGGGTCGTTACCATTACTAATCCTAAAAGAATGAGGGAAAGGCGTAGCAGAAGGAGAAGCCACCTTGGTCGAGGGCATCTGCTAATCCAGCAGGAGGAAATAAGAAAACAAGTACCTTAAACTCTGTCTGCCCTCACTCAGGTCTCCTGTTAGTGCCTCCCATTGACCAAACCCACTGAGGCCAGAAGGTTTGCATTCCACTGGGGCCAGCCTCCCAGGACAGAGAGCAAGGTGGGGAAGGGTAGCATGCATGTAGAGGGACAACATCCTTCAGCTCTCTCCTGCAATCGAAGAAGAGCTGAATCATTAGGACTTGGGTCTGGAAGGCAGGAAGCACACAGCTGCTAGACCAAGGCCACGGCCTGATCGATTCAACTTCAGTGATCCAGAGACAAAGAGCCACTCTTGGATTCAGACAGTTTATTATGGGCACAGCCAGCAAAAGGAAAAGTGGGAGATTCCTGTTCCCTGGGGTCTTTGTCCCACACCGGAGAACCAAAGGGTTGGATGACTGTGCTGTGAGCTGGATATTCCATTGCTAAGGGGTGAGTTCTCTGCTGCAGCTAAGCAGTTTGACAGTCGGCAGCTCTGCAACAAGGGGCTGGGACAGGGAGCCCCATCCCTCCTGGGAACCGTGCTGACAAGGAGAAAGACTCTCATGATGATTTCCCAAGGGGAGAAGAAGGAGGATAGCCGGAGATGGCCTAGAAGAGGTCCCTCACGTGCCCTGGAGGATTCCAAGACGATCTGCTGAACCCAGACAGGCTTCATTGTGCTTGTGTGACCCCAAGGGGCTGCGGTGAAACTGGCCCCTGCAGAGGCTCTTGGGCACTTCACAGACCTCAGTGGCAGAAGGCTGGGGTTCTCTCTGAATCACCATACCTTAGGTAACTCAGCTATAATCATTTTCTCACCTTCAATTTTCCGATTCTTTGGAATCTGAAGTTCTTATGCTGGTCTGAGGTGGGCCAGGGGCAGAATTGCCATATACAGACATGGCCTTGGGACCCACTCCCAGATGCCCCTGGTTCTCAGAAATGATGGCATGCCTTGTATGGTCCCTCCTCACTTGGCTTTGAGATCGTGCCATGTCCAGGTCTGTCTGCCTCCTCTGAGAGGGGAATCAGGAGAGGTCTGTAGAGACAGAACATTCTCCTCTCCTCCTCAGGGCTGGATGGATACGTGGTCAATAGTGCTCTAACCACAGATCAAGTGGCTGAGGGTAGATCTAGAGCTGGTCACCAGAGGTCAGAGCTGTCTGTGCAGCCCACACATAAAGCAGTACGTACTTACGTGCGGCAGTTGAGATTTGAAAATGATTTAAAAAGAATGTCAACTTATAACATCCTTAATTGTTAAGTGCCATTGAGTTGGTTCCAACCCATAGTGACCCTATATAGGGTTTCCAGGGAGCTGTTGGTGAGCTTGAACTGCCAACCTTACAGTTCAAATGGCTTTGCAGTCTGGCGCATTAAGCCACAGCGCCACACCAGGACTCCCAGTAACATCCTTAGGAGCTGTTTAAAGTTTACCACATTAAGAGTAAATTATGGGTGGAACTTTTCCAGCCCTCAGTTGGAAGAGTATAGATCGCATTGTTGAGAGGGACCAAGGGAAGCTCAGCTTGACCATAGGCTGTGGACCCCAAGGCCTGGCTCTGCTAGTGCTGCCCAAAGGTTGCTAAACACATCCTTGGATGAGGGGTTCGGGGTTGTGTTCATAAAATGTTTCTAGTGGCAAACAGGCATGAAGACCTTCCCCAACAGTGAACAAGTCCCCTGCAGCTCCTGCTGGTGGGCCTGTTTGCAAGCAGGACCACCGGCAACCTTACATCTTGGTGGGCTGTGGGAGAGGCAGGTGGCCAGGCCCACTGGGAGGGGACAACACCATGGGCAGGGAGTTGCTGCCCCGCTCGTGCCAGCAGGTGTCTAGGATGGGGTAAAGCTTGCCTTGGAAGTCAGCCTGGAATGTGTAGAGTGGCCGCAGGTCATCAGGTCGGTCAGCGTCGAAGAAGGTGAGCTCCCCCTGCTCATAGTGCAGGTAGACACCAATGCGGTGGGGACGGCCCGCCGTGGGCAGGAGCACCCGCGGGCAGCTGAAGGCCTCGTACACCCGACCCTCCTTCAGGCCGATCAGCCACACACCATGCTCTGGGGACTTGTTCAGTTTGCCCTTGCGGCTGGTGGTGCCTTTGATGACCCCCAGGCGCCAGTCACTCTTGCTGCCTACGGCCACCTCCCAGTAGTGACGGCCGCAGGAGAAGCCCCGGCTGGTCAGGACGCACGTGCTGTAGTCGAAGCGCTCGGGCTGGCTGGCACACCGCTGAGCCAGGAGCCCACACTGCACTACCGTGTTGCCTTTGGAGAGTTCCAGGAGCGGATGGGCCGTGGCAGGGTCCAGTTTGAGAGGCTCCGGAGCTAGGGAAGAGAGCGGAGTAGTATGCTGTGGGAGCTACACAAAAGGGGGCAGACTCTGCTTCAAGGAGATGGTGGGAGGCTCCAGGCCCCTCAAGAAACTATGCCTGTCTAATCTAACCATTGATTCCCTGAGCTTGGGAGGCGGCACCAAGCAGGCACCCAAAGGATGTTGGCTGAATCATTGGATGATGCCCAAAGATTGGGAGAAACTGACAGCTTCATGGCGTGGGGATTCTGGAGAAGACTGAGGTGGTGAGAGAGCTGGAAAACTGCCAGCTGCATGTACTATCCTTACATGGTTTTCTGGAGAACCCATAAACAACTGGGATTGTTGTCTTTGATACCCACACCAGCCACTCATAGCGACCCTGTATAGGGTTTCCGAGGAGCAGCAGGTGGGTTTGAACTGCCAACCTTCAGGTTTGCAGCCCAGTGTTTACACTGTAGCGCTGCTCCAGGAGTCTGAGCTCTTTACTAGCTGGCAACCAATAGGTTTACTTAAAAAAACACAAGATTTTTGCGTACACAAGCAAGTGCAAACAAAATTCACTGTTAACAGACGATCTACGGTTTTGTTTTCTTTCTCCCCTTTCTCTTTTTCTCATTATAGTCTCTATTTTTTATTTTGTTGGATGAAATCAAACTACTGACTAAACTCCTTTATGTTCAAGTCAACAGCATGCCAGTAATACAAGAATTAGGGAAATATCTTTGGGTTATTTTTGATTGAGTAACAGCTACTATTGATTAAGCCCACATCTTTATGTCCTGGAGTCCTGGGGTGGTGCTTTGGGTTAACGCACTGGACTGCAAGGTTGGTTTGAATAGCAAGGTTGACAGTTCAAGCTCACCAGTCGTTCCTTGGAAACCCTATACAGGGTCACTATGCCTCAGAGCCGACTCAATGGCACTTAACAACAACAACAATCTTTATGTCCTGGTGTGGTGCTGCAGGATAAGCACTGGACTGCTAACTGCAAAAATGGTGGTTCAGACCCACCAGCAGTTGCTTGGTAACCCTATATAGGGTTGATATTATTGGAACCAACTCAAGGCCACTTAGTAATAACATATATGAGGCGGGTTTTGAAAGTTCATAGAAAAAGGAAATGAAAAGATAATGGGACTTCGAAGCTTTCTCATACACACACACAAGTAGTACCCACCTCACAATGTACTCAAGTCATGACAGACTGCACTTATGACTGTCCATGCTCAGACTGTCTACAATGTAGTGACATGTCATTTGCTGATGTCATCGCTCTCTGATGTTCACTCGTAAATGTTTCTATATAATTTTATTGCTAATCCCGAAAGCAAATAAAGATGGGACATATAAAGATAACTGATAATAAAAGGCAATAATAATCAATTGAAGAAAAAAGGTATTTGACTTACCTTAGAACTGCCTTACGATGGAATCATCAGAACTGAACCCCGTCATAAGTTGGGAACTACCCATATATATCAAATGCAGCTGCAGCAAGGTGTGAAAAGCCATCTTTACCAACAAGGGACTCAAGGCACAGTGTGGTTGTTATTTTGTTGCCTTTCAGATTATGATCTTGTAGCTCCCAAGAGATGATTGGATAGGACTATGCAAATGGGGTGCTTGTGGCTCACCAATGGGATTGGACAGTTTTGCTAATGCAAATAAGGTGAATGGAATCCTTCTGGGAGTGGGACCATGCAAATAAGATTACTAGAACATTTGTAGGGGACTGGTCAGCTTTGCCATCTTACTAGGCCTAAAGGGAGCAAATTCCAGAGGTTTGGGGGGGGCGGGGAACCTCACTACCATTCAGGAAGAAGCACCAGAAATAGAATGCATCTTTTGGACCGAGAGTCCCTTTGCCGAGAACCTCCTAGACCCAGAAGACAGAGCTCTGTAACTTCAGAGACAGCACGAGAGGGGAGCAGTGCAAGCACCACAGCAGAGTCTAGCAGCAGAGAAAAGACGCAGCGGAACCAGAGGACCAGCTGAGATGGAGCAGTGAACTTCCTGGGCCCCAGAGTGAGGCCGTTACTTGAGTAGGCAGGTCAACTCAAGGAGCAAGATTGCTGAGTGCCTCCAGGCATTTATCCGCAGAGCTAAAGAGCTTTGTAACACTTGCTCAAGCAGGGGCAGAGGCCAGGCTGAGAGCCAAGAGCAAAGGGCCAAGGGCTTAGAGAGAGGCCATTCTGGAAGCCTGGCTGGGAAGAAGCTGTTCTGATGGAAGGACTAACATCCCGAGTCATTCCTGTTACTGTCATCTGTTCTTTCCCTAATAAACCACATATCATGAGCATAGTCTAGGGGGTCTGTGTGGTCATTGAAATGAATCCTCAAACCCAGCAGTGAAGTGAGGAGTCCCGTGACAGGGACACTTGATGTCAGAATTGGTAAAAATATTGGTGGGTGAAGGTATGTCTGACCTCCACTTCATAGGAGTCAGCTCTGGGCTGATGATCTTGACTCTCCTCTTAACCTCCAGCATTTAGACAAGGTCTGATGCTACACCATTTGTACACTCTGAGCGATTACAACTACTTGTCCAGCCAGAAAGAAATGGAGCTGAGCCTGCGCTCCGGCTGTTTAGGGGACCCCAGCCCCAAATTTTCACCATGATTCTGTATCGGCCTCCTTTCATGTTCTCTCCAGCTACGTTCTATCTAACCATCCTCAGGGAGGAGAGGACAGGTTAGGGCCTCACCTGGCAGAACTTTTCGGAAGAGCCTTTTCCACACAGTCAGCTTGATGTCAGCCTGGTGGAGGGCTGGCTTGAAGGAGATGGGGCTGAACGCACCTTCCAAAGGCCGGATCTGCTGGAGTTCTGCTCTGGGTACAACATGAACAGCAATGGGACAGCAAGGCAGTCAAGAGTCCACCCCACTGTGTGGATGTCCAAACTCGGAGCTTGGAATACTGTACACTCAAGGGACCCATCATTTCACCCCCCACACCTTCTCCTAGAGGACTGTCCCCTTCCTAGGAGGGATTCTCAAAGGGCAGGACATAGACTAGCAGAGCAGCCTCCTCAGGGAATTTGTTAGAAATGCAAATTCTTGGGCCTCACCTCCAGACCTGTTGAATCAGAAATGGTTTACTGGGACCCAGGAATCTGTGTTTAACAAGCTCTCCTGGTGGTCCTGGAGTAAGATTGAGAACCACTGCTCTGAATAGGATGACCCTGGCCCCTATGAGTGGACACCTGAGCCACACTGAACCAATCAGATCCTCTTATCTGTTCATTCAAACCAGTACTGTCTCCAAGACTAAAAAAACCCACATTGTCCCCAAGACTTCAAACACAAAACTGGAAAAGAAGAAGACAGGGTGGGAAGAAGCTTAGGAACTGTGTGGACTATGCATTTGTTGGGACTAGAAAACAGATCCGACATCCTTAGCAGAAGTTTCCAGGTCCCTCATCCAGGCCGCTACCCACCTCTCCCACCTTAGTGTCCCCTTGCACCCAGCTCCAGATTTACCCCTGCCATGGTGAACACATTAGAACATTCCAGAGACTGTTCTACTCAACCCCTCCACATGCCTCCACTCCCTACTCTGCTGACCCACAAGCTCCCCTCACCTGCACACCTTTCTTGTCAATTCCCAGTCAGCTCCTCCTTTGTACCTTGCTGCAACTTACATGAATTCCCACTGCTGTGTGTAATCATGGTTCACTGCCTGAGGCCTAGAGATCTCATGCAGTTTGTCCCAGACCCCCAGCCAGTAAGATGGAGTTGCACTTAAACTCAAGCTCTTTGGGGTCCCTGAAGGCTCTGTGTAAAGCCAGATTTGGGTAGCTGCTGCAGAAGCCTTGGTTAAACCCAATAAGGAACTACATGGAGAGAAGCAGCTGCTGGATGTTCCCTGGGAGAGTCTTACCTGGAGGCCATGGAGTGGTACTTCTGTAAGACAGGAGAGAGGAGGCAAGAGAAGGAGGGCCAGGATTAGGGAGGAGAAGGCTCTGGGCGTCCTGAGGGCCTCAGCCTGGGGCCCATCCATCATCCTCTTACCCGGATGAACTCATGACGACTTTCATCACTGAACTGCTCCAGCACATGCTCGGCCCGGACCAGCCGCTCCCGAGTCCCCTGGGCCTGCTCCAGTTGCATGTCCAGGGAGGCCACCAGGCCTCGGGTGTGGCCTTCTACCCCCTCCAGGCAGCGGGCCTTCTCTTCGTCCACCAGGTGGTGCAGTTCCTGAAACTCGCGGCGAATCACCCAGCTGAACACATCGGACTCATTCTGGGGCAAGGAGGAGGTCAGGTCAGTTACAGTCGGAACCGCAGCAGAGCTCTGCGACTGGCTGGCCTTCCTGGACTCTCCTGACTCGGCTGGCCCCAGCACCTGAGTCCCAGGCAGGCCTGTGACTCCTGGATGTTTCAGGGAGATGTGGTCCAAGGGCGACAGGAGGCAGGGGAGATGCTGGACCCCCCATCCCACCCCAAGTCAAACAGAAAGGCTCTGCTTTAACTATTTAATGTGCATGGAAGACTGTTTCATCACAGCGCTCACCACGGAAGACCATCAGAATGCTCTGGGGAGAGCCCAGGATTCCCTGTGTGGCCGTTCTGCCTCCCTCAGATAGGGCTAATGCCACCTCCCAGCCCCCAGCATGAGGAACCCTAAATGAGACTGTGTGAGGCTCAGTGTCTATTGGGCCTGTTCCACAGTTCCACAGCCACCTCCAGGGCTCAGCCTAGTGTTCCCTCACTAAGGACAAGCAGACCTGGGGTTTTCAGGCCTGCCTAGGCCTCTGGCCCAAGGCACAGGTAGGGCACCCCAGTAAGCCCACTTGCAGGCTGTGAAGGTCAAGCAGACTTAGGTGGCACCAGGGGTGGGTAGAGCCATGCCCATGGCTTTGGGGTGTTTACCTCTGGGACTCAAGTTCTGGCTTATCTCCATCCCAAGGGCATGGGGGACAAAAGCCAGAGCTGACAACTAAGTTAAATTCTCCCAGTTGGAATTTTCATGTTCCTCACCCACCCTGGGATGCTGGCTCTGGTAGCGTGGTGGTGATTATGTGCCGTGGAGTCGGTTCCGACTCATAGCGACCCTGTACAGGGTTTCTGAGGAGGCTGTAAATCTTTACCAGAGCAGAAAGCCTCATCTTTCTCCCATGGAACAACTGGGAATTTCGAACTGCTGACCTTGAGGTTTGCAGTCCGATTCATAAGCACGACAACACAAGATTGGCAGTTTGAATCTACCAGCTGCTCTGCAGGAGAAAGATGAGGTTTACAGCCTCCGAAACTTTATACAGGATCTCTACAAATGGGAACCAACTTCACAGCAGAAACCACCAACCACCACCATGGGAGGGGTGGGTTTCAGTAAAGGATTAAGTGAGGATGGGGTGCTTGATCTCAGCGTAGGGGGCGGAAGGGGCTCACTCACGACAATCCGGGTCCTATTGTTCACCAGCTTGGCGATATGCTCATCCATCTTCCTCTGCTCCTGCTTCAGCTCGGAGATGACAGTTGCAAGTTCCTCCTGGGGGCAACATGCCATGGCCCTTGAACAGCTAAGTCCTGGACTCACGCAGCTTCTGGGGGACTCGCCCTTCTTAGGAGAATCCCAATGGCCACAGGCACTTCTCAGTGGAATCAGGGCAGGGTCTACATTGCCCAGGTGCCCATCACTCCAAAACTAGGTAAGAGTGACTGTAGAAATTGTCAAAACAAGGAAGAACCCTTGCTTCGTCCTTCTCTGTGAGATCCAGACTTAATGGGCATTCGATCAACAGTCATTGATAAAAGGCCCCACTGAGGCCAATTCTAGGGCAAATGCTGCACATGGTAGTGCCAGGTAAGCCTCGTGACCCCCATTCCTTATGAATCCATCCTCAGCTGGCTCAGACCCCACCTGGATTATGGGACACTCTCCAAGATAAAGTAAACTCACTTCTCTTGGCTGCCCTGGACTCAAATTTGACCTAGCCTTAGGGCTACCAGCCAGGACCACCTGTAAACCTACCCATTTAGCTCTGGCACATGCCTTCTGTTTGGACAGGGAGTGTACAGACACTTTAGGGAGTTCATTCCCAGACAGAAGTCAGCAGTAAGAGCTTTCAGGAAGGGAGCCCGAGAAGGTCAGTTCAATTATAACCTGCCCAAAGCAGAGTGGTATATCACCTTTGTCACAGGAAGAGGAGTTATGGGGAAAAGTTAAGTAAGTATCTCAACAGGTAGACGAAAACAGCAATGCATGAAAGGGACCCAATAAAGAAGCATAATACGGTTACATCACAGCAGACACTGGGATCGCAAAATCCCAAACCTCAAACGACCCAAACGGGCCCAGCTCATGGGCAGAAATGGTGACTAAGACCCTTCTCTTCTGCTAATCAAATGCAGACTCAGCTCTAGCCTACTGCAACCTGGCTTCCTCCTCCTTCCACACGTCCCTAACACTGCTTCGCCAAGATAGTCAACTCAGACTATAAATCCAATAAATGGCTTCAGTTCATTTCAGCCACTTCACACATACCATCCATACACATGTCATCTGTACACATGGTACTTCACACATGCCACTCCACAATACTCTCTTCACACATACCACTTCACACATACCACTTCACGCATGCCACCTTCACATAGCCAACTCCACGCCATCTTCACACATGCCATCTTCACACACGCCATCTGCACACATTCCATCTTCACACACGCCATCTTCACAATGCCATCTTCACACACGCCATCTTCACAATGCCAGCTTCACATACACCATCTTGTCCTTCAGATATGCTGTTCCTTTGTTTTCCAGGGACCACACTCAGCCACTTTCCCTATTCCCCCTGCAGTTTCTTTCTGTGCCCTTTCCAGGGGTCTCTCTCTCTACCCTGATTTAGAACTCTGAGACTCCTCATGGGGTCCTCAGCTGTTTCCTCCCTTATCATCTACAGACTCTCCTTGATTGGGTGTCAATTCCCACTTCCCACCCATACAAGATGACTCCAAATCCTTTATCTCCTCTCTGACCCCTCTCCTGGTCTCCAGACTGTCACCCACCTGTCTTTTGGACATCTTCTTAGGACTGTCCCACAGGGGTACCTCACACACATTCCACCTGCTACTTCCCCCTCCCTGTCCCTATTGTCTCTGCAAGGGGACTTGCCCAAGCTAAAGGTCAGGGGTGGGGGTCAATCCTGACTCCTCTCTCTTCTGAATCCCCCACATTCAGCTACAGGGGTTTGTTTCTTTGTTTTCTAATTATCTCCTGGGTAGTGCAGACGGTTAGCACACTCAGCTGCTAACAGAAAGGTTGGAGCTTTGACTTTACCCAGAGGCACTTTGGAATAAAGGCCTGGTGATCTTTTTCTGAAAAAATCAGTCACTTAAAACTCTTGGAAGCAGTGTTCTACCCTGACACACATGGGGTTGTAATGAGACAGAATCAACTCAGTAGCAACTGGTTTATTGTTCTGTTTTTTAAATCTCTCTGGGGCCTGCCCCAGCCCTGCTTCCCACCCTCACTGACTCAGCCCCTGATGCCCTCCTATCTTGCTCCTACCTTTTAGTCTCCCTCCTCCAGTTTACCCTTTGGCCAGACGGATCTGACCACACCACTACTCTGCTAAAAACCCTCCATTGCCCCTTCCCCAGGACCCTCCAAATAAACCCCAAATCTCTTCAGGTAGCACACCAAACTTTCTATGATGTGGCTCACCTCTTCTGCCCCATCTCGCTCTGACCTCACTTCCCCAAGCTTTCTGGAATGATCTGTCTTCCCTCAAGTGAGCCATGCTGCTTGCCTCTTGACCTTTTGCATGTGCTGTCTTCACACTTGGACTTCACACTTCACACTGTTTCCTCCTTTTTTCTTCCTACCGCCTTAGAGGTCCACTTCCTCCCGGAAGCCTTCCCTGACCGCTTGAGGCCATGCAAGATCCATGTCCTCGGTGATCTCACTATTCCATGTGCCTAACCTTGACATCAGTATTTGACTTAGGAACCTCTCACAGAGCAGTAGGCCTCTTGTCCACGGCTGCAACAAGAACACCGGGCACAGCACCGGGCACAATGAGGTGCCCAGTACATTTTCATGGGAAGGACAGACCAATGGAAAATGTGTCGAGTCCTGTGCACACCTACTTGTCTCCCAGGATTGAGGAGCAGAGATAGGACATCCAGGAAACCCTAGAACAGCTCATAGGGCCTCTCTGTCTTCCTGGTTTGCCACTCTCCCCTCCTATATTTTTTCATTCCTCATTTTCACTCCCCCCATAATCCCCATACCAAGTAAATGCCTTCCTGGAACATTTCACCTCTAAGAACCCTTCCTGGCTATTCCTGATCTATTGGCAGCAGGAAGAAAACTGGCCTTGGTTTAAATCTAGAATGCCACTTAGAAGTTTGTATGACCTTGGCTAAGACCTTTACTGTCTCTGAGACCCAGTTTCCTCACTTGTAACAGCCCCACCCAGCGGGCATCACAGAATGTTCTGGGGAGAAAATGAAATTGTAAATCTTAGATGAATTAATCAACCTACGATGGCATGACTGTTAGTTGAGCCCCGGGTGGCACACAGTTGAAAGTGTTTGGTGGCTAACCTAAAGGGGGCGGTTCATGAACCTGTTCTCTCTCTTATAGGGTCCTTGTGACTGGGGATCTACTCTTTGGAAGTGCTTTTGTTTTGGGTTATTATTATTATGAGGGGGCCTCGAAAAAGTTGGTGAAAAAGTAGAATGAATGGAATTTTTCCATGACCTTTTTGAAGTCCCCTCGATTGCCTTACCTGCTAAATCATAAAAGGCACAAATTGGTCGACTGAACAAATACCTGAAATTCAGCAAAAGAACAAAACCAAAGTCCTTGCCTTCATGTCCCTACCTATGAGGCAGCCAGGGGAACACTCTAGTAACAAGGGCTGGGCAGAAAAATTTAGCTGGGAAGGAACTCACCCATGAAGCCAGGGGGCTGTAATCCCCCGCCCTTGGTTTTAGCAGCAGCTCACGTGGTGATGGATGAATGGATAAATGGATAAACGGATGAATGAAGGCCCCCACGAGTTCTGCTCTAGGACAGTCCTTTTGTGCCAGGTGAGGGCGCCAGAGAGCCCCGAACCTGGGCTCCGCGGTCCGCAGGCCCTGACCTTGGCAGTCCGCGCCCCCTCCGCAGTACCCCTCTCACCTTCATGCGGCTGTGCACGGTGGAGACGGGCGTGACTCGGTGGTGCTGGTGGGAGCCCAGCAGGCCGCAGAGCCCACAGATGAGCTCCTGGTCCTTCTCGCAGAAGAGGCTGAGCGGGTTGCGGTGGTGCGCGCAGACCTGAGGCTCCAGGTCCCTGGGAAGCCGCAGGGCTTCGATTACCAGAGCCAGGGAAACGTTGGGTGGGGAGCTGCTTCCGTCCACCGCCTGCCGGCACACGGGGCAGCGCAACTCCGCGTCCATGTGGTGGGACAGGGACACCAAGCAGTCCTTGCAGTAGGAGTGACCGCACTGAAGTATCTGGGGTTCCCTGAAGACCTCCAGGCAAATGGGGCACTGAAGTCGGTCCTCCAGCTCCAGCACGTTCACCTGCCGCGCCATCCACCTCGGCAGCTGAAACAGCGGGAACACGGTCCCCTCCTCTTCCCCTGTCCCAAGCTCCTGGCTTCCTGCCCTAACCTTCTGTGTACTTGGGCCTCAGTTTGTCCACGTGTCAGTTAAGGCGTTTCAATGAGGAAACGTTTCCTTAGAGAGATGATGTTCTATATATATATATTTTAAAAGAGACTTGGTGGTAAATACGAAAGGGCAGAGACCCATCTGCAGTTCCCAGCTGTCTCATCCTGAGAGAGAAAAGGCTGACTCCGCTGGGCACTGGACAGCTTTGGGGTCATTTGGAATGGCTCCTAGCAGGAGCCCTGGCCTAGAACTGGGCAGTCCAAGCAAGCAAAGGCAAATCTTTGGGCCTCCCACCCTCTAGATCGGGTCTCAAACTTTAGATGCTTGATGATGGTGATTCCTGAGTTCTGCCTTTAAGATTAGGGGTTTGGAGTGTGGCCCAGAAATCTGCATCTATTAGAGACATCCAGGTCATTCTAAAGCAGGGAGTTCTATATTGGAACAACATGGTGCCACAGAGTCTGGGACAAAGAAGGGCTCTGTCTGAGGGTCCCACCTCACGCCTTATGGGAAATGATGGGCAAGGAGAGGGAAGAAGTACCGTGTGTGAAGCTGAAGTGGAGCCAGGCAGAGCCAGGATGTTGGACTGCCTGGTGTTTCACAGACCGCAGAGCCTTCCAGCAGGTCCTCAGACCATCATTGAAGAGATGGTGTCAGTGTGTTCAGTGGAGTCAGCCTTTTCTCTCTCAGGATGGGACAACAGGTGTGGAGACCTGGGAACTGCAGCTGGATGCTGGCTTCACTACCTATCTCTGCCCATTGCCTCCTCCCTTTTCCCAGCAACACCCTTGGGCCCTCAAGGTCACCCAGAATCAGGTGGAAACCAGGTCACATCATGGGACTGGGGAGGCAGCCTCTGCTTGGCCGGCTCTGATAATGGTAAGATTCAGGTGCTTGCTTTGGCCAGGAATTGAGGGGCGGAGAGGAGACGCAGAGGGGCTGGATCCCTCACAACACACCGTACAAACCACAAACCAGGAACAGGAGGGGACACGTGCTCTGACAGAATTCTTTCTGAATCTCTGTTTTAAGGTATTTTAATTCATTTGG